TTTTATTATGTATTAAATTTTTTCAAATGATATAGGAACCATAAAAATTTATTTAATTATTAAATGAATACTAATAATTATATACACTTAAATAGATTTTTTTAGTTTCATATACAGTTAACAAGAAATATCAAAAACATTTACATATATATAAATATAAAGATATATTATATATATATTTTGTGAGAGAAATGTATGTTCATTAATGAGAATTATATTATTTTTTAAAACATTGATTCATAAATATTTATCCTAACTTTTTTAAAATGGAGTATTATGAGGATTGCATAGAATTATTCATTTATATTTTACTTTTTATTGTCTGATTATATTTATTCATATTACATAAATAATCTGCAATTAACCTTACATTATGGAAATAACCTTTTCAAAAATAAAATATTATCCATTTATAATTCATATTTTTCCCGTATATATTTAGTATAACTATGTGAGAACTTTTCATAATACAAAAAAAAATTTTGATGCTATTAACTGTACATATAGAAAAATTTTATGAGTAATATTGTGAAGATAAAAGAAATGTGGATGCAGATAACAATTCTAAATATAAAAATATTTAATTATTACAAATAAATAGCTTATTGTATATATATATAACCTTACACAAAGTGACCGTAGGCACGATTCTATGATCGACAATCCTCATGCATATTGTTTATATTTAAATTGTGCACAACACTCTAGACTAAAAAATATTGAAGGTAACCAATATGCTACAAAAAGGTTTTGCAAAAAAAATTTGAATTAGCAGATTAAACCGAGCTTGAGAAATTTAAAATAACTAATAATGAAATAAAGGGTATTACTGACAAAAATTTTGATAATAATAAATTAATAAATAGCATATATGAAAAATATAATAATTCTTTTTCATGTAAATAAAGTAAACAAGATCAGCGATACTCCATCATCATGGTTGTATTAATTCGTACGAAAATGAATTTACAGAATGTAATACATAAATAAATCGGGGTTATGACAGGAATTAGAAAAATTCAAAAAATATTATAATATTAATATGTCATTTGATAATATATGTAATAGAATAGAGAGGGTATTTATCAAAATTAGGTTTAGAAAAATAAGGATGTAAGCTTCCAAGCAATAAATATATTGATCATGAAGGAGCAATGTTGAGTTCACAAGTATCTGACAAATTTGATTATTTAAGTGTAAAAACAATTATAAGCATTTTTACCTTTTTAGGTATTTCATTATTATTTGCCTTATATAAGGTTAAGAAAAATTTAATTTAAAAAAATAATGCTAGTTAAATATCTGTACAAATATACTTTAATTACATTACAATATAATAAATTATTAATACTTCTTCATGTACAATCATTTTCAGTACTATACAAGTTTTCCCCTAGTGGATCATGGATACAGCTAAAAATAAGAAGTATAATAAATAAGTTCAAGGGTTTAAACAGAGAAATAAAAAATTTATCGTTTAATTATCCTGGAATAAAACACTTGAATTCAGATATATCACCTTACCATATAGTGTACAGTTCTTCATAAACTTAGTAGTTTAACTATTATATAAAAAAAAAAAATACTCATATTGTAAAAATGATGGAAAAATATATTCACTGTACATAAAGTCTGATGATAAAATAATGAAGAAACAATTTAAATAAAACGTAATTTTTTAAATATTAGGAATTCTGCTTATGAATGTTAATATATGAAAGGCAAAATAAAGTAAAGTAAGGAATATAAAGTTTAATTTTTTGTTTATGTATCCAAAAATAAAGTAAAATAAATTACAATGAAAATAAAGATAAATATATAATAAATGGCAAATGTAATGTTATATCAATAATTTTTAATATTCATATAAGAACCCTTATATTATATTTCCATGCATTAAAAACATCTTTTAAAAATTCACATTTAATATAAATTTTAATTGTAAAAGAGCTAATTTTAACTTATATTAATATAAATAATATAAATAATAATATGTTACCTTTGATTATACCAATCTATAAAATATTTATATACTTTTTTGAAAGATTTCCTAATAATATAAATAAATATAGAAAATATTAGTGAACATAATATTTATATTCACATTGAACAGGGGGAAATTACATTTTCATTAACTGCCTGAATTCTAAAAAATATATTATTTAAGTATCCACTTGAAAACAATTACTTTGCATTAAGTACAAGTGGCTAATAATTTTTATTTTACACTTATGTATATACATTCTTTTGGTATTATATTAATTAAATTGTGTGAATCCTATAAATTATGCACTTAAAAAATAAACTGTAACATAAAGTATATTCATTTACATATTTCATATGATTTAATGAGAAAAATATTGTCGCACTCAGACAACATTTCTAAATAATTTAAATGACTTTTTATGAAATACAATAATAATATATAATTGAATTAAATACTAAAAATATATTGTAGAATAAATTACTGAAACAATAACTATAACCAAATGCCTAGACTAATGTTTGTTATATAAAGTCACTTTTATATTGTGATTTTATGCTTTCATTTATAAAATAATTTATATATTTTTAACATATAAAAAAAAAACTCCGTAGTAAATAATTAATTCAAAAAAAAAATACATAAAAAAATTACATTTCTATTTATTTTAATGGCATATCAGGACAAATATATTATCAAACATTAAAGATAATAAGTAAAATAATTTTAATTAATATTAATTCAATTTCTTATATATTATAAAAAATTTATTCATTAATTCATGATGTATCGTATAGATAAATAAATCGATAAAGCAAAAGATTCTAAATTTCTTGATAAAAGTGTAAAAATTTTTATAAATATATTCCAATAAGATGAATATATATAAGTGCATATGATTAATGTACAATCGAATTTATAAAAGTAACTATTTTAAATTTTAAAATTTTAAAAGACAATATAAACAATGTAATAAGGCATATATGTATAATATAAATAATATTCTTAAAATGATGTAGAATTTTTGCTGATGTTAACTAAAATTACATAAAAAATGCGTATGAATTACTCATAAAAGTTTTATTGTGTGTAAATATATATATACAATAAAAAAATTGTTAATAAATATGTAATTATATATTATGTCATGATATATGTTTTAAACATTTTTTATCCATTTGATATATAAAAAAATTTTCATTCTATACCTCTTTGTTTTAATTTATTTTTTAATTAAGTGGTAAGAACCAATATTATTTGTCCAAAAAAATATTATTATTATGATCAAATTATTTAAGCTTATCCAGCTTATAATTTTTATGATAAGAATTCATAGTAATTTAATAAGAATATTCACTGTTTATATGATATTATAATAAAATTTATGTAGAAAAAATAGAGATTTTTGAGTTATAATAAATATATTTTTAATATTTTTTTAATATTATAATAGATATACAAAAATATTAACAAAATACTGAGGGCATTTAAACATGCCTGTTAAAAAAATAAATTATATTTTGGAGTAAAAGTATTTTCTCATAATATTGCATGTAATAATTCATAAAAATAAATTTGTTCATTATAAACATATTTAAGCATAATTCATGTGTTGAAATCCTTTATATTTTTTAATGAATCTGTAATAAATGTTTACTTATTTAGTTCAACAGTTATATTAATTATTTTTGTGAAATAAAAAATGTTATTTTTATATTTTCGTAAGTGAACATTTTAGTTATTAGATATAATCCAATAATATATCATTATTTATATAAATATATAAATAGTATTAAAACTTTTAAGAATTATATAATTATCTGAAGATAACACCAATTATATTCTACAATTAAATGTATTCTAAATAAAAAAAAAATCATTATATTAAATTCGTAATATGTATAACATATTTATTTTAATTAAGGTAATTGTTGAAGAATGAATAATATCTGAAATATGTATTTGTAAAATTCTTATTCAGTTTATAATATAGATATTTATGACTGTTCAAAATTTCTGATTTCTTCATCTAATAGTTAGAATAACATAAATATATTTTTCATCATAGTTGGTATACCATGGGACACACGAATAACTTTTTATATATAATAAAGCATATATGTATTATCAATGCTAAGATATATTATAATTATACGATCCACTTTATTTTTCTAAATATAAGCATCATTCATAGATTATATGAATAGTTTTATATAAAACATTTAAATCTCTACTTTTTTTAGTTGTATATATATAAATAAAATTAACACCTACATATTATTATATCATGCATATAATAAATATTGTAATAGAATATTATGTTTTATAACTATATAAAGGATAAATATAAAAACAGAATCCAAAACATAACAAAAGAAAAATAATTTAAAAATAATATAAGTTTAATATAATATATATACATTTACTATGATATATTGCACATATATAGTTTTGTAATTTATCTATATATTATTTTTATTTGTTATTTATTAAAATGATTATAACTATAGCATATTGTTCTGTCACATATAGCACAAATTTAAGATTTTTAGATTTATATATATTAAATATAAAATTATAATTCACAAAAAAAAAATTTTTACTTTCTCTAAAGAATTGCATATATATGTAAATTTTTGTGTAATTTTTTATTTTTATTATATTTAATTTGTAGACTATATTTTATATATATCATCTAATTATAGGATTGATAAAATAAAAAAAGAAAAAAAGTTTTCAAATTATATTTTTAGGGATAGTTGAATTACATCTTAAATTGTTGTAATTTATTCTTTTAGACTCATCGCACAAAAACTAAGAATTCGTATTTTAATTTATGATAGTATTATTATTTAAAGATTAATTATAACTGGAAGAACTAATTAATAATATAATATGCTTATGAAAATAATAAGAACTATAAAACACGTCCATATATAGAATGAACATATATTCAGTTATTCTTCTATAAATATAAAATTATTTATAAGCCATTATAGTACAATTACATATAAATATGAATAAAGTTTTGCTTGATCCTAATCTGAAATCTCTAGCTGAGAATGTATGTATCATTTATTACTACAATAATTATTATAACAAGATTAGCTGTACTATATTGTTATTTTATAAATATAATTTCATTTTTTTTATCAGATAATTCTATGTGTCTTATTGTTTTTTATTATTTTAACTCTTCAGCGTAACTTTTTGAATAGCATACTCTTAAATAAATTCTATGAAGATCTAAATAATAAGTATAATGAAAATCACAATTCTAATTCGTGCGAAAAAGCTTTACAGCCTTACACCAATAATTATCGTTATATTTATGAGTATTGTAATAAAGTAAGTGAACTAATAAATAAATGGGATAATATAATTAAATCTTATACAAACTACGATAATTTAAAACTCTGTAACTATTTCGGATATTGGTTTTATGATAAAGTAATAGAAAAAAAACCCAATCTTCTTATTGTCAAATTTTTGTATGATATATTGAAGGTACTTAATAAAAATAATTATAAAAACAAATGCCTTCCTAATAATTATAATGTTCATAAAGAAGCATTTAAAAACAAAAAGCAATTGTTTGAATTTATTGAATACTATGATTTTATAAAAAATACACTTTCCAGTACATTACATTCGGAAAGAGAAAAATATTGTGATTATATTAGTCACATATTCGGATTACGATACGCCATGGCCCAGGAGGACAAATGTAAAAATTCATCCATATATGAAAATGACATAAAGAATTTTGATGAAAAAGTTAATAAAAAGGATCGACTATTCATAGAAATCAGCTGTCCTCATAAAAATCTGGAGGTGTTATTTAAAAAAATTTATGAATTAAAAGAGGAGATACAATCCACTAAAGATTTAATTACGAACAGTGATGAACAAGCGCATCTTAATATAAAAAATGTAATGAATTTTCTTCATCGCAAAATAAAAAAAATAAATCTAATAAATATACCATATTTTATTGTTAATATTATTTACGTACTACATTTATTTGAATGGTACATAAACTATTTAAAAAAATAAAATATATTTTATTCCAAAAAATACAACAAAAAATTTACATAAGTCATTCATGTATTTTTTTATAATCAGGCTGATAACTTATTTAAATTAAGTTCATACAATATTTATGAAACGTTAAATAGTACTCATGATATTGACTCTTTCTGTAAATATTGTATTAATATATTAATGCTAGAAACAGATTATCCTGGTGCCTATGTGCTTTGTAAAAAATTAGCAAGAAATTTAAAAAAAAAATTATCTAACATTGAAGGAAATGAAGATAATCATGGTGATCGTTGCTTATATTTCATATACTGGACTTATAGAGAAATTAGTAAAATAAGTTTAGATAGTTCAAAAAATATTTTCGAAATACCAGTATTTATTGAACTTCTTAAGGTAGCAAATAATATTAATTACGAGTTCACAAGGAAAGATATTATAAAACGTTATAAACACTTAGAAGATGAATTTAAAAACAATTATGAATCATTAAGAAAAAAATTTCGTGATAATACTTCATTAGAAATAAAATGCAACGCAAATAGAAATAAATTTATTGGAGAATGGACCAGAGGTATCACCACATTGTCAGAATACATGCCATGTTTCTATTCATTTGATTGTAAATTAGATGAATGTAAAGAAATGATGAATCTTTTTAATTATTTTAAAAATCATAACAATATTAAAAGTACCATTTCTGAGAGTAAGAATGATTGTGAGAGATATAATATTTACCTTGAAAATATTAAAGATCTGTATAAAAAACATAAGAAGGAATGTTGTGATGATTTTTGGGAAGATCATAGTTTTTGTCCAAATTATTTTAAATGTAATAACAACTATAATCCTTTTTTTTTATTACATGAATTAAAATGTAATGGAAAACACACTCGTTATTCTCAGGATTATGCTAGAAAGAGTGAAAGACATAAACAGAATGATCGTAATGGGGATCACAATTCCTCCGTTGGTGCATCAACTGTGAAATTTAAGTGCAGAAGGTGGTCCTCTAGGAATGATGCTATTTCTGATAAAATAATTTGTGAAGATGAAAATAAAACTATTGAAGATGCAGTTATTCCCCGTGTCTCAAATTCATTTCCTGGAATATTGAACGCGAATAGTGATGATTCATCAGGTATTTTAAGAAATATACGTAAAATATTAACATCAAGGGACCTACAAAATACTTTGCTACTAGTAATTTCATTAGTTGGAGTCATACTCATAATTTTATTTCTATATAAGGTAAATATAAATAGCTACATAACAAGCCCTTATATATTGCTTTTATTTTACATTCATAGCTTTCATGGTTATATTATAACCATATTAAATATTATTTATATATTTTTTTTATATATTAGTTTACAACTTTTGGAAGCATTTTTCTCAATAAAATACTAAAAAAAAATAAAAACACGTTACATTGGGATTATGAAAATAGCATGTTTATGTTAGAAAATAATTCAAGAAGAAAAAATATAAAATCAAAAAATAGAGCATATCATGTTATATATCAAAATGTATAATTTTCAAATTTTATGTATAATATCAATTTTATTCGAATTAAAAAAATTGAAATTTGTCTAATTTATTTTTACTAAAGTCTCTATTTATATATATTTAGAATATATAACAAAAGAATAATAAATTATTAATATAATAAATTACAATTTATTCTTTAAAAATAAATACATTGTTTAACAAATATATGTATATGTGTATTATATTTATTATTTCGAAACACGTAAGCATACTTAATAATATAATTCCTCAATATAAAATTATATAAAAGAACATTGATAAAAAAACATTAATTTTCATATATACAACAACTGTATTATTAATAAAACAAATGAGAAATTATTAACAAATAATCATAAATAAAAACTTAAAATAAGAAATTATATTCCTATAATGAAAACAAATATCGGAGAATATTTATATCAATATATTATAAAATTATATTTTACATGTTTACAATGTGACTAAAAATATACTGTAATTATTATTTTAATTTATGCGTTTTTAGATTTATCCTTAATTAAATTATTTTTTATATATGTAAAATAATAATTTTAAATGATAATGTAAATAATTATAAAGGAACAAACAGGAATACATAAGAACATATTTACGCGGGTACATATATATGACATGAGCATTAGGTATCCATTTTATGGTATAATTAACAGCTTTAAAAATAGAATACAAAGCTATTTATATACACCTATGAGAGAATAAAATAATGCCATAAAATGTTCTATATTTGCACCAGATGCAATTTTAAATCAAAATATTATGTCTTCTTTTGAAATAATATATTATTCATTCTTACCATTTTATCTTATATAATTTTAGTATGACATGTATAATACACAAGTTCCACAGATTAATACTTTGGAACATTATATTAAAGGAATAATTGCAGAGTAAAAATTTATGACTGATATTAATCATGTGTATTAAAATGTAATACGATGATTTTTTATAAAAATATGTTATTATATACTATTATAGTTTATTAACTTCTATTTTTTATGCTAATACGATTGTTTGATACGTGGTATATGACTCACGTATATATTTAATAATTCAATCAAATTTTAATCTTGTTTATTCTCTTACCAATTTATTTATAGCTTCTTTTCCAAAGAAATATTATGATAAAACATGAATTATATATTTATTTATATTATTACACACTAATAGGAGTTACATATGTAAAACAATAGATTTTAGCAAAAAATATAAAAAAATTCAAAACTATATCACGAAAAAATATAATGTTAAAAATTCATTTCGATTAAATTATCTAACAGTATATATTTAAATATTTCAAAAAAGCATAATATATAATAATATGAATAAAATATATGTTATTGTTTTAAGGGATAGTACCCAATTTTCCCTACAATTATACCTGATACAGAATACGATAAACTACATTTATATAATTTCACAATCAATAAAATGAATGAAACGAATAGTACCCTATCTATAACCTCTTTATAATATTTAAAATTCTCATATGTTTTATATTCATATAGGTGTGTTCAGTATAATTGTTATTACAGGTATTTATTAATATTCATTATTTGCACACTTATATATATATTTTATCATAGGTATTTATATTCAGTATCTACAAGATTACGTTTATTCATTATTATAGAAAATTTGAATTTTCATATTTTGTACATAATTTCCTTTTATTTTTATATCATATATAATGAAGTTTTTCTATAATTCATTCATTATTGTATGATATTTTTTATTTTTTCTCCTTGTTCTCTCAAAGTTATGGACTAGATTTTATAAATTAATACAACATGAATATATTAACAAAATTAAATTCAAATAATGCTTATATTAAGAATATGTAAATGAATTTATTTTAAATTATTTGTAATTATATATATTTATATTTCCATGTTAAAAAGAATTATTTTTTATTATTTTAAGAAATATATATCAACATATATCATTATATTTGTACATTATATATAAACTAAGAACACGCCATTACTTTAATATGATATATAAATTTATATTAATTGTATAATAAACCTAATATTTGTAAAAAACACTAAATATAATATTTTGCCCGAAAAGGATAAGAAAAATTTTTATGTATTATTTTTCTTATATTTAATGTTCAAGAAAGTTATATGTAAAATAGTTTGCAATAGCATTTGTTATTTAATAAATAGTGATATATAAAATATTTTTTACATGTATGATTTATATAAATAAATATTTTGTCTCCTAAACGAATATTATGTAATAATAATAAAACTATATTTATATATTTCAATATAAATTTTAAATTTAAATGTGTCTTAGGCTAATAAGGATATATATAAATATAAAAATAATACTAAATATATATTTACCATAGAAAATAATCCATATTATCATATTTCTTAGATATGACAATATATTCAAATATAAAATTAATTATTATTTATAATATTTTTCAGATATTTGTTCACCCTTTCATACTTATTTTAATATTGAATTAGTTTTGATACATTTATACTAGTAATATTTTTTTAATATATTATACTATTAATGTATCTGATGTAATTATATATATTACAGAGCATATTAACTATTTAAGATAAAAAGAAAAAGAAATCAACTTCATAGATTTATGTATAATTCTATGTGTATAATTCAGTATAAAATATATACTACATTACTAATAAGATCAATAATAATAAAAAAAATTTAATGCAAATATGTCTCTTTAACTACAATATATATATATATATATATATATATACTAACTTTTTGTATTACAGTGTATATATTTTAAAATATACATTATGAGAAATTATAATTATACATTATAATGGTTATTGAATAATATTAATAAATGTTAAATTACTGTGAGTAAATATAAGTTATTTACGCAAAAATAGGAGGAAAAGTACATATATTCATTTTCTGGTAATACATATTTTTTTTTTTAATATTAGACAAGATCCCTATTTTTTTGTTATTACCTCTTTTTTGCCGTTTTTTGAGTATTATATATGTTTTGATTTTTTATAAAGGAAAAGCATATTATATAATAAAATGAAAAAAAATTAACATATTTTAAAATAATTTATACTTTTAACATGCAATAAGAGTATAAATAAAATATAAACAGTTTATTATGTTCCATTTTTATATCACTTTATGCCCTTTAAACTACGGATAGATTATCAATTAGAACAGACCTGGAGAATATAAATCGTTAAGTATCTCTAAATAAATTAAGATATAGTGATTCAAAATATAAGAATATTAGGACTCAAGGAAAAATATTAAATATAATGCATAAATCTATATATAATGTTACAGTTATAATATTACATGCCATTGAAGATTTTGTGAAGTTACACGATTATAATGTAGGAAAAGCATAATTCATATATATAATATTATTATGATAGATAGATAAATAAATAAAGGAAAATAATAACCACCTAATAAATTTCTTTTAATCCTATTGTTTTATTCATTAATATATGATATTGATTGAACTACATTTTGGTATTTTAGGTTTATTATATTTTATATTTTCCTTTGTTCTAAGATAAATAATTAACTTGATTTGATGTGATATTTTTGAAAAAGCGCTATTATATTATATATTCTTTAGAATATGTATTATACTAGTAAAAGTTAAAACAAAAAACCCATCTTATAGATATATGATAAATTAATTATTATATTTTCTACAGATATGATTTTGTTTCTAATTTTATGATATATATTATTCACCGCAATAGAAGTTTGGAATTTACTTATATAAGAAGGGAAAAATAATATACTTTATCTTTTATATTTAAAGAAATTATTTTTATTTTCATTTTAATTAAAAATAATATATTTATGTTGCATTTTTCTATAGAGCAATTGAAGAGTGTTCCTTTTAAGAATTAACATTAGCACTATATTACCGAAAATGCTAGATCTAAGAATCAATCTACTGTATTTTTGCATTTATAATATTGTAAAATCAAATTGAAGAATAATTCATTTTATATTCCATAATTATATATTATTTAGAACGCGTTCTATAAAAATTGTGAATATATATATTTCTAAGCATATGTATATAATATATATATATAAAATATAATATAATATTTAAAGAATTGGAAGTCTTCATTTTAGAGATATATGTAAAATCACATACATCGGTTTAATTTATGAATAAGTCAATCTAGTTTTTTTATATTTTTGTAGAATTTTACACTTTATTATAATGATACGATAATAAGAGTTACTATATTATAATATATCGCTTTGTTAAACGATTAAAATTTTAATTTACATAATACTCACAAAAGATTTTTATACATATTTGAGATTATATCAAAATGTATTAGATAATGAACGAAATTTTTTTATGTAGGTAAATTGCGTCTATTTGTTATACAACTCATAATGCAAAACATTTAGAAAACTAAAATATTTTAAAAATTATGTTTTCATTATTTTACAGTACTATGGAACAACTAAATTTTAACTTCAAAATATAAAATTTTAATTAACTAATAATATTGTGTAACAAAAGAAAATTCGTAAAAACGTTCATTTGTGTAACAAATATGAAGATTATTTTATCATTCAAAATTATATTTCCTATATTAATATTGAAGTTTATATAATATAATATGTATCTACATATATATATGAGAACGTCATATAAAATGTGTAATTCAGCCGTATATAATGATTACGTATGTAAATTATTAAAAGTGGTAGTTATCAGACATGTATGTAAAAAATACTTTGCGTTTATGTTTCATTTTATTTACTACAATGAAAATGTGGTAACATATCTGTCTTATATGACCATTAAGTTTTTTACCTTTGTTGAAAAAATGAATAATGGAAATATGTAGAAAAGTATATCAATAAAATGTAATATTATAAAAAAATAAAACTTAATATGAAGTATTTTTATATAAATAATAATTATATCAATGGTAAAGAACATATAATTGATAAATAGTCCTGTCCACTT